ATGTATTATACTGTACAATACCAAGTATAATACAATGTAAAATACCTCACGTATAATACGTGCCCAACCCTGATGCTCCGTCCCTATATTCCTATGTCCATGGTTAACAGTCGAATCGCGTTACTGGTCTAGTTTCCACCGAAGCATTAATTCACACCTAACCTAACCTAATGCGACGTAAAATCAAATTTAAGTCGATGAAAACCTGTCAAATTGCGCTGATTTCGCTTCCGCTTCAATCTATAAGTACTCTACTTCCAATGGAAACGGAACACTAAATTTAATCCGTACCGGAGTGAAACCGAATTGAGGGTTTTGGTGGAAACTAGACCAGTAACGCGATTCGACTGTAACGCATAAAAAACGCATAAGGCCTGTTCTACAATACAGTCGTAAGCCGTAAGTTGTAAGAAATTGACCAATCACAATCAATTATTCTTCTGTAATTTGTCTGTAATTGGTCGATTTCTTACGACTTACAGCTTACGACTGTAGAACGGGCCTAAGACATAAGAAAATCAACCAATTCAGCTTTTTGTTTTCATCCCTATTTCTTGTTTTAGAAAGCTTTGATTGGTTGATTCTCTTATGTCTTGCGTTATGCATTATGAAAAAGTATGTGCTTTGGTCTTTCAGTGCTGGCAGTAAATTTGGAACACAGCTATAGATTGTGATATTCTATATGAAAGTGTCGCCACCTGTTGACGACAAGAGGCAAAGTACGCTTGATCCTTACGTACTCTGGTGGCTGACAAAAATCCGTGTCTCAAGACGACGTGGACGAAAATCTTATGAACTTAGTTTTTCGGGATTTTGGACTTTGTACCGGAGATATCTATGTTGGAAAGGCACGGAGGAAAAAATCGAAATATTTTTTATCGTACTTCGATCTCAACTTTCGATTGAGTCTAAGCCGAACTTTTAGCCGTTGTTGAGAGATATGAAAATCTCGAATTTTCAGTTTGGCCCTACTCGCGTAAATGAGGGGTACCTTGCGCAGCGCGCGCGTACTTTGTTTGCGCATATACTTGGCGCATAAACTTGGCACTGTGCCTCTTGATAAAATATAAGTGTATGACAAATGACTACAAGTCAAAACATATGTGTACGTGCGTGTGTGTGTCGATCTTTTTCTTGAACATAGGATAGGATAGCTGCTTCATTATAGTAGCATTGAACTCTATAACTATTATAGCTCTATGAGTATAGAGATTAATGTTATTGACGTATGAATCTCGTAGGAATGTTTTTTTCTTTGCCATGCTCATGGGCATATCTTCTTCTTTGTTTTATAATAAAATTAGATATGCAGATTTTATTATTTATTATTTATTTAATCTTTCTTATATTTGTTTTTGGAAGGAAGAAAATTATGCTGTAATGCAGTTGAAACATTTCCGCACTTGCTGCGCGTTCAGGTTTTTCTCGTTAGATCGCTGTTTCAGCGCTAAAAAAATATTATATTCAATAATTTACATTTGTATAATGATCATTCAGATCAGACTTTTTAAAAATATTTTTATACTCACTTATCGTTGTTGCCGGTCCTATGTTGATCAGCTCGAGTTTCGAACTTTCAATCTCTCGCAGTGCCATCGCGCGAAAAGAGAGTGCGGCAACGCGCATAAACAATTCGAACACTCCGTTGCCCGTTCTCGACGAAATCGCCCAATACTCTGCTTGTATCCTCGTCGCCGTTTCCGTCGCTCGTTTTTCAATGATATCATACACCGGACGGGACTGGCATTCATACGGAATTACATGACTAGCATAAAAAATCGAAAGGATTTTGCGCTGTTGCTAAATGGCTCACCAATATGTCCTTTTTAGCGCCAACTAGAAAAATGTGATACGGACCGATGTTGCTGCGACTCGCCTCGTCCAACCATTGCTGACAGTGCGCGAGTGATATTAAATTTCCCAAGTCAAACACGACCATAATTACTAGCAAAATAAAAAATATATATAGTATATTAAAAAATAATCAAATAGAAATAAAAAATTGTTAAAGAGAAGAAAATTATGTTTACCATTAGCTCCGCGATAATAAGAAGCCGCTATACATTTGAATCTCTCTTGGCCTGCAGTATCCCATCTGTAAATTATTCCAAAAAATTGTATGTACAAATTATTCATACATCACATTGCGAACATTATACAATATCTTTTGACTTTATTTTATTACATTTGCAAGTAAAAAGGTACGCCGAGAATATCAAACCTCTCCACCTCAAAATCCACTCCAATAGTCGCTTTATAATTGTTGTCAAAGAGTTTGTGGCAGAATCTAGATAAACAAGAAAATTCCCTCTAATTCGAAAACATGTAACATAATTGAAAACATGTTTTGTTTTAAGATTTTTTTTCACTTTATATTACCGATTTACCAACGACGTCTTGCCGACGGCAACGTCGCCGATGACGATCACTTTGGAAATTCGAAGTGTCAAGTTCTTGCTCTCACAAGTTTGTCTGACCAAAGTACCGAAATCATTGTCGGTATGTGGAGTAACGTCCGACAAAAACGGTGGCGGCCAATGCGTTATCTGTTTCGAATTATATCAAAGAATTATATCAAAGAATATAAAAAGTAACATGTATAAATTTCAAACAATTACAAATAAAATTATATATAACATATGTAATTTTATTTATAATTATTTGAAATATTCAAATACAAAAATAAATAAGTAAATTCTATTACCTGTCTCTCCTCGAGGGCTTCTTCTTTTATCATTTTGTAAACCGCAGAGCGCGTTTCTAACATTGTTCAGTCTTAATTAAAAGCAGCATTTGAAATAGTTGCTTGTGTGCAATTATGGCTTATTGTATATGCACACGTTATTAAAAAATAAATATACACATATACTGATTGACAAATGTATATTCCACCGAACTTGTCAGAAGAAAATGAGAATTTGTTACGTAGCACGAATAAAAGATAAACACTGGTTGCTGGGGCAGGTGTTCACTTGGTGTATAGGATACATATCGCATGGGAGTTTACGAATATACATCAGTACTAATGAAGGAAAAAAGGCCTCTTATATAGTCAATAGTAATGTCAATAATACTATATACACATATATAAATTATTGACAATAAATACATTGGAGATTTAGAATAAATTATTGCATAATTTCCTAATTGTCACATATGTAGGACGCACGCGTCTTCTCTCTTTTTATTTATTTTTTTTTATTCTTACACACACACACACACACACACACATACATATATATTAAAAAAAATTTTTTTTTTATTAAATAATCGATGAAAAATGACATATACACGTGAATAGTGTTTTTCCCGAAAGTAGAAATTTGTAATAGTTCCACATGCTCGTCAGGAATTAGTGTAGTGCCAATTCGAATACATAGGTTTGTTTTATTTCCCTACACTGGCTGCACTAGTTCACAGTCTATCTCTTTTTATCAGAGAGAAGCCTGAGAGCGGCCACGGCCATGGCTATAAAAGTTTCTGCAATAGCTTTTTGTGGACACAGTTCTATCATAGACTTATATAATAGACGAAACATTTATATGACGAAGTTGAAGACAACATTAAAGAACAGAGATAGTGCTGGAGTAGACTCGTGCGCCGTTTTATTTTATATCGACGGCAGCGTTTGAGGTAAATTAGTATGTCGGCGGCGGATTCGCCGAAAATGTTCTCTTTCGGCGGCAGCGGAATCGGCGGATGATTATTTATCGGCGACGGCGGCGAATGGGAACGTCAGTACCCAGCAAAATGATGGCAATGTGCCGGCATTACGCAAGCATGCTTTCCATGGCGTGCTGTCTCTGTGACTGCCAGATACAGGTCCATCTGGCAAGCATCGCGACGACACGTTATGCTCAACACTCTATGCAAGCTTTGTGTAAGCAGAATGCACTTTAGAATGCCGGCATCATGCAAACACACAAGTCTTGATCAGTACTAAATCCTGCTTTTAGGTTAGGGTTAGGTTAGGATTTTTCAGTTAAAATATAAATAAAACAATTTTTTAAATATTTCTTTATTTAGAATATATTCAATATTTATAATATACATAATATTTATATTATATATAAAGTATTTATGATACATATTATATTTATATCCTTATATTATGTTTAATTATATTATATTCTTATATCCAAATTGCTGAGCACAGAATTGCAGAAATGCACATACAGCTTCCTTCGTATAATACAGTGTAGCCTCGTCTTTTGTTCGACTATAAAACTGATGCACACCAACTAAAAGATTTTGAAGAGGTTATATGTAGAAATATCACTAACTTATTGAAAATAGAAATTTGCACATATTTATATAATACATGTGCACATTTATGTTAAAATGTGTATATAAGCCAAAAATATAAAATTATAAGTGTGTGTGTGTGTGTGTGTGCGTACTTACTTTATATATCCAATAGAATATATATTCAAATTGCTGAGCACAGAATTGCAGAAATACACGTAGACCTTCCTTCGTACAATATAGTGTAGCCTCGTCTTTTGTTCGACTGTAAAACTGATGCACACCAACTAAAAGATTTTGAAGAGGTTGTATGACGGGTTATATGAAGGGTTAGAAGAGGTTATATATTAATGAGGTTATAGAAGTATCACTAACTTATTGAAAATAGAAATTTGCACATATTCATACATGTACACATTTATGTTAAAATGTGTATATAAGCCGAATATATAAAATTAGAAATGTGTGCGTGTGTATACTTACTTTTTTTATATAATCAATATAATTATATATCCAACTTGCCAAGCACAAATTGCAAAATGCACCTTTTTCGCAACACAGTATAGTCTTGTTTGTGCGGGCAATAACCGTTATCTTATATTAAAACCAATAAACTATACGATTTCAATGTTTTTGTTTACAAAATTGCCGAATGTGTATACTAATAAGTTAACGGTTATTGCTCGCATAAACAAGGTCTCAATGCTGAAGCTGATACACTTCTAGACAAAGGGGAAAGACAAGCAGAGGGAAATAATAGATTGTGCTGCCGGAGAATCACCAAATTAAAAGTAGCGACATCTGTCGGTCTTCCTGCAATGCTTACCTCAGCACGCCATGATATAATTTTGTTAGCATACAACGCGTGTCATCACTGAACAGCACTGTACCAACATATTCGATGTGTTCAGACAACTCAACGGTTGAGAGATCATCACTTATGATAGAACTATTCTTCAAAATCTGCTGCGATTCCAAAAGTATGATCCAATCAGAAGTGATTATCTCTCAACCGTTGTGCAACTGTTGAGTTGTCTGAACGCACTCATTGTTCACATGGCATGCTTTTCACGGCGTGCTAACACATGATGTTTGCTGGGTATCAGAGAGAAATCTGAGAGCGGCCATCCTATTGTAATTTTTTATGACGGTTTCAGCCGCTGGTTTTAGCCGTATTCCCACAAAAGTGGAACTCAAAGGCCGTTCTACATTAAACGCAAGTCGCAGATTTCGTGGAATTGACCAATTGCAGAGTCAAATCAGCCAATCGACCAACGTGATTGATCAGTTCCACGAGACCTGTGACTTGAGTTTCATGGAGAATGGCTTTTAAGTTCCACTTTTGTGGAAATACGACTAAAACCAGCAGTTGAAACCGTCGTAAGAAACTACAATGGCATGGCCGCTCTCAGGTTTTTCTCTGCTGGGTATATATATTTTTTTTTATAGCAATTTTGGCTGGTCTGCACCGGTGTGCCACCTGTGTAGAGTTGGTGCAAGTGTGCAGTGCGTACACTCAGGTGATGTTGCACTGGATATTTCGACCACGCTAGTGTGTATCAGCCGAACACGAGATCACACCAACTGGCTCCAACTAATTTGTGAGAGCCACTTTGTGTACACTCAACGTGCATCTATGCAGTGTACTGAGCTCAGACCATGAAGTAAGAGTAAGGAGATCGAACTCCGTGAAATAAAAGTGGTCCCGATTCTGACGCCTAATTGGGAGAGAATCCGCTCAAGGGAATAGTTTCTTACGGTTGGACGCCATTTGTAAAGTAACGTAACTTGACCTTGGCTGAGTTCCGTTTCATGTTACGCGCATTTATCTATAGTACACGTTACATATAGTGTAGATAAATGCGCGCATATACGCGCGCGCGCGCGCGTGAAACGGAACGCAGCTCTGTCAGTTTTTAGTTAGTATTACGCTGCAATTCTTTTTCTGACACTAAAATCACTTTCTGCTTTTACAAAACCAATAAATGTGTCGTTTCCAGTTGTAAATCCCCAATTTGGAGAAGGCAGCTCAACTAAATGCAAATTTTTTTGTAAATACTTGAATTTATCTGCTGCTTGTTCCATTTCCATTGAATTTCTTTCCATTATACTCGTGAGCCTGAAAATGATAGTCTTTTTTACTATTTACTTCCTCAATGTTACTTTTTTCCATTATTAACCTTTTTGTTTGTCCGATTTTGCGTATCTATAATTTTATTTTCAATTACCCAAAGCGTTATAACACAATGCACGTAAAACAGAAAACTTTTAAATGGGTAATTCTCAAAAAACGTAATCTCCGTGGACTGTAATCTCCGTGGTATATTGACATAAAAAACATAGATACGTTTTTTATATTGCATAGTCACGTATTCATATTACGAATGGTGACTTAAAATGGTATGACAAAACATAATTCACCCCTATCCGTTTGTTAATAATAATTATTTTTTATCAAAACTGAAAGTTGAAATTTACGCGCTCACAGAGAATCACCCAAATCTTTTATCACTTTATTTTGTTGTATTGCTGAGAAATTTCTACATTAAAAGAAATCTCACGATTCAGAGCATAAATATAGTTACATATACTAAATGTGTACATGTGGTAGTTTTGCAAATGGCGTCCAACCGTAAGAAACTATTCCTTTGAGCGATTCCCTCCTAATTAGACGTCAAAATCGGGACCACTTTTTCCATTGGCGCGCTATAAAGTTCGATCTCCTTACTCTTACTTCATAGCTCAGACGAATACGCGGCACCAGCAAGGAACTACACCATTCGACCAGCCGAACACATAACACCCAAAATATGCAGTCGGTGTAGACCAGCCGAAATCGCTATTAAATAAAAGAATTAAAAGTCCAAAATAATTAAATAGACCTAATAAAACTATATTTTTAAGAAATATACGTTTTATTTCATATTATTTTTTTTTAATTTAACTTTTACTAGTACGTTTCAAACTTTTTATCTTTTAATTTTATTTTAATTGATTAATATATTTAATTATTATGTGTAATAATGTTAGAAAATATCCATTAATTCTGACGAAAATATTTTTAATTTTTCTAATTTAGAATAAATTTTACTTTTGGCATCAATCAAGCTATTTTTTATATACAACTGATAATTAATTACCACTTTAAAGTAAATACCAATAAGTGTTTTTGGAAGAGAAAAAAATCGGTGTAAACAAAAACGTAAAAACACAAAACATTTGAACACGTCTATTCTCGTCCACAACCGGTAATGGATTTGACGGACGTTTTATATGCACCGAATAAATCGAATATAATGCACGAGGAAGGCGACGTCTCCCATTGAGCGGAAATCCATAGGGGAACGGAATGCGCGGAACCAGCGCGACCAATCATAGTCATTCCGTTTTCTAGTCTTTGCATTTTCTATTTTCCCATAAAGCGGAATACGCGGAAATGGTCACGCAGAATCATAAAATTAGACTTCTTATGTTATTTACAATACTTATATTTATTGAAGGAAAATCTTACCTACAAATTTTGAAATTAATAAAGAGGAGTAAGTCAATGGTACAATACGTAATAAAGAATATTAAATCAAATGGAGATGTAGTGAACAAACAACGCAAGGGAGCTCTGAAGAAACTAACTATTCGAGAAGAAAGAGCAATGGTTAAAGATATAAAAAAAATACAACAATTAGTGGTCCAAAATTGTCATTTGTTTTAAAATGCTTTAATAAACAAGTGTCTGCAGAAACCCTTAGAAGAATTTTGCGAAAAGAAGGTTTTCATGGCAGAGTCGCTAGAAAAAAGCTTTTTATTAATCGGATAAATCCTATGAAGCAATTACAACTTGCTAAAACCTATGTTGACAAAGAAAGTATCTTTTAGGAACATCTAATTTTCTCAGATAAGAGTAAGTTTAACTTATTTAATTCAGACGGACGTACTATGATATGGAAAAAACAAAACACGAAGTTTGAATTAAAAAATTTAAAAGGAACTGTGA